ACACACACACACACACACACACACACACACACACGTTCTTTTACCTTTTCTTTTTCTTCGCTCCCTCTTATTTTTTTGAGGATTTGTCCCCTGACCCACAGAATTTTCCAAATATTTAGTAGTAGTGGAGATTGGTGCCTGGACCTCAGTCATGCAAGACAAGAGCTGTACCACTGAACTACATCTTCAGCCCTTTTTATTTTGAGGTACATTCTTATACATTTGCCCAGGCCAGCTTCAAACTTGTGATCCCTCTGCCTCAGCCTCGCAAGTAGCTAGGATTATAAATATGTGCCAACACATCCAGCTATTTTGTTTTATTATTTTTGTGTGTGTGTGCGTGCACCTGTGCGCCAAAGATTGAACTTGGGCCCTTGTGCTTGTGGCAACACCACTGAGCCAAATCTCTGGCCTTTTATGTATTTATTTTTGGTACCAGGGATCAAACACATCCTTGTGCTTGTGAAGCAGGTGCTGGAACCACTGAGCTACATCCCCAGCCCAGCTATTTAATTTTTTAAAGAGAAGGATTTATATATACACCAACTTTAAAAATTGGCAGAAGGATTGCAAGTGCAAGCCCATCTAAGAAACCTAGTGGGACCCTGGACCATAAAAGGGATAAGGTTGCCAGGTGTGAAGGCCCTGGTTCAGTCCCCGTGACTGAAAAACAAACTATGCATAAAGCTAGAGAAGACTTGGTAGATTTTTTTCCCAAAAAATTAGGGCCAAGATGCATGGCCTGTGACATGGACAACTGGAAAGTTTCACTTGTTTAAAATACTAGGGCCAGGTGTGGTGCATGCCTGTAATCCCAAGTACTCCAGGGGCTGAGGCAGGAGGATTGCTTGGAGTTTGAGAACAGCTGCCTAGTGTTTTTAAGGCCTGCCTGAACAATATAGTGAGACCCTGTCTCTAGAAACCAAACTGATGATGATGATCATGATGATGATGATGATACACTAGGGTTGTAGATTACCAATGAAGTATGACTGTTTGAAGAAGGGTGATAAAATGCAGACAAGAATATAGATTTTTGTAGCCAAGCCTCTTAATGTTCAAATGTTGACTGCCATTTACTAGGTATGTTTTGGGCTCCTTAGCTGAGAATGAGAATACTAAGAGAAGCTATGTACAGAGTGCTTTTGAGCAATACATGGGTCACATGTGGAAAGTAAGCAATAAATACCATGTACACAGCCACTCTAATCATTCTTAAAACTCAAAAATTATTCTTTGGCATTTGTCCTATGTATAAAACACGGTCTGCTTTGCTTCCTGCAATAATTTAAATGCTTTCAAGAAAAAATCATTTTACAATGCCTGACTCAGGTTTCGAAGAAGGGGGATGATCACATTACTTGAAAATGGGATGTGAGAAAATGTAGCAAATTGAAACAAAGAAAAGGGGACTTTAATTGCTAAGAGGATCATGCCTTGTCATCAGCAACAGTTCTGCCGTACTTCCAGAGTTATCCATGTTAGTAACCGCCATTTGAGGTAGGATGGATAGCGTTTTCCTTGGTTTACAAAGAAGGAAGCATTTGGAGAAGGGATATAACTTGGTGAAGGCACGCGTGGTGAATCCAAATTAAGACACAGCTTTTGGAGTCTTGGAGCAAGGTTCTTGCCATATTAATAACATCTTGCTTTATTATTTTTATTTTTATTTTTGGTACCGGGATCTGAACCTTGAGCTTGCAAAGCAGGCAGCGGCACCACCGAGCTAAATTCCCGGCCCTACATCTTGCTTTATTATAAACGTGATTTACTCAGTTGCGTCATCATCAGTCTTCAGTGGTGACAGACAAAAACCAGAAGAGCTGTAAATGTGATTGTCACTATAAACGTATTAGATCAGACTTTTCATCTGAACAGAGTCCTAATGGCTGTGAGGGAGAGCTGGCTGTGTGTCTCTCACCACTCCAGGTAAGGAGAGCGGGCCCCAGACCTTGTTCTGTTCTCACCTGTCCTCCCACGCCTGTTAAAGCCAGATGAAGTCGTCAGCAAGCAGTCTTGCTGCCTCCCTTAGAGAAAGGCCCTGAACCTCCTCAGTGCCTTCATGAGCACACCGTGTATTTTGGCTCCTCTCTACCATCCAGTTTCTAATAACTGCATGAAACTGACTCTAAGTCAATCCATTCCTCAAAAGGAAGTCCTGGAACTT